TGTATGTGGAAGGTGAGATGGTGGAGGTGGAGAGGTGGTGGCTGAGGTGGAGATGACGAGAATGGCAGTTGGGACTGTGTTCATGCCCATCCTTGCCTCGGTCCAGAAGACAGAGCAAGCAAGGCAGGGAGGCCAGCAGGCAGTGAGAACAGATTTGCTCTAGCCCTGCTTAAGCCACATGGGGCGGACAGCTGTCCCCCAAGGTTAAAGCCCCAGCTCTACCATCTGCAAGCTGTGTGACTGTGGGTGAGTTATTCTACCTCTCTGTGCCTCTGTTTCCTCATCTATAAAAGTGACCTAGTAATAACACCCACCATTTCACATAGGATTCTGGAAGAAGTCAGTGGGGCACTGAGTGTGAAGCATTGGCACAGTGCCTAGTATATAGGGAACAGTAAATGCAGTTGGTTTTGTTATTCTGACACTATGCTGGAGACTCCGTGAGAGCAGAAATCTTATCTTATTCACTTTGTTCACTAGCAACATATAATTACTCAGGAAAAAAAAATGCTTAGGCTGGGCTCAGTGGCTTATGCCTTTAATCCCAGCACTTTGGAAGGCCGAGGTGGGAGTATCACTTGAGACCAGGAGTTCGAGACCAGCCTGGCCAACATGGCGAAACCCCATCTCTACAAAAAATACAAAAATTATTTGTGTGTGATGTTGCACACCTGTGGTCCCAGTTACTTCGGAGTCTAAGACAAGAGGATCACTCAAGCCTGGGAGGTCGAGGCTGCAGTGAGCCGTGATCACACTACTGCACTCCAGTTTGGGCAACAGAGCAAGACTTGGCCTAAAAAAAAAGAAAGAAAGAAAAAGAAAAGAAAAGAGAAAAAAAAAGGTTAATGGCATCTTCCTTCCCATTCTCCCCCTGCTCCCTCCTCCGTGAGTCATGCATGGGTGGTGAGTGTGGGGCTTGGCTCTGCCCAGAGGCCAGGCTCTGCCCAGAGGCCACACCCCTCAGAGGGAGCCCAGGCACTGGGGCCAGGCTATTGTTGTGGCTGAGATTCTTTCCAAAACGGAAAGCCCTGAATTAGAGGACGGCTGCTCTAATCTCTGTGGGGAGCTTCTCCTGTGGCCTTGGGGCCTGGCAGATGCCCCTACCCTCTCCCTAGCTCTCCTTTCAAGAAACCCCAGTCCCTTCCCTGAGCCCTTCCCTTCCCTGAGCTCCCATCTTTTCTCTAAGTCCCCTTGCGCACCTTCTCTCAGTCTGCGCCTACCCATCTACTCACAAACCCCATCCCTTCTCTGCATCCCCTCTTCTCTCCTACGACCTCCCACCTTCTCTCGCTTTCCTCGCTTTCTCACTCTCTGCGACCCTTCCCTGGCCTCTTACCGTCACTGAGACCTGGCGCCTGCAGTGCTCTCGGCCCAACATTCTCTCCTCCCCCACTCCTAACCCAGTCAAAAATCCCTTCCCAGTAGGGCTCAGATACCCCTCCTCTTTGAAGTTTCCCACCCCACCCTGGGCAGAAGAGATCACCACCCCCTCTGCTGTGTTCATCTTGGTTGCAGCAGCACTGGTCTCTCACCAATCATGGTGAAGCTTCCTGCCTCTGCCACCACCTGAGAGTGAAACCACATCAGATCCATCTGCGGATCCCATGGCACAGTGCAGGTGTTCCCAGTGATTAGCTGCTGGCCGCTGTGAGCAAGACTGTGGGATTAGGAAAAGAGATGTAGGCCAGAGGTGCAGGAAGACGTTGGTGATGGGCAAAAACTGAAGTCAGATTCATCTGACTTGTACCTTGCAGTTGCAGGCCCCACTTCCCTGCATCTCCAAGCTGCACGGGAGCTGGTTCTCACCATTCCTGCCTGACACAGAAGGAAACTCGGCGAGGTTAAGTTCTTGCTCAAGACCACACAGCCAGCGAGAGGTAGACTAGGTCTGGAATCAAAGGCAGGACTGAGGTGTGGAGGGGGCTGTAGCCAGCTAGTGAGGGGGGTGACACACATTTCCTAAGTGACAATGTGGACGTGGGATGTGAGACTGGACCTGAAGGCCTCCCTGACCTGGCTGGTTATTCCCGACACTGACCAGAGCTGCTCCCCATCCTCCCACCACCCTCTCCTGGAAGGAGACTTTCTGACTCAGGCCCATTCCCGATCTCCATCCTCAAGGTGATCTGGGAATGAGGTCGGAAGTAGGAAGGAAACACCCCCCGCAGACTTGCTTCCCCCTTGCCTGAGGTCCTGGCTCTAGGGCTGGAAAGAGCCACTTTAAGGCAGTCCCTGGGGACCCACAACCAGAAACAGGGACGGTCCGGTTCCTGACGAGGGTGGCTGGGAGCCGAGGCCAGACAGATGCAGCCCACCTCATCCTCTCATCCGCCCCCGCCTCCCCTCTCCTCTGCTGACTTTTTCAGGGCCCCCTCACCCAGAAAGCCGATCCAATTCGACCTCTCCTCCCTGACCCTGCTCTGCCCGTGGGGTAGAGGGTCTGTGCCTGTCTCCCAGGATTCTGTCCATTGGCATCAGGGCAGGGGTCTGTTGCCCTCACACTGGGAGCTCCTGAAAGCACGGCTGCTTAGCCCTCCCCTAGCCCCCAACCAGAGATCCCTGAGGGCAGAGCTGTGCCACTTCTGTCTCACTGGGGGCTCCCAGAGCTGGGGCTGTCTCCCCTCCCTGACCAAACCCTCCCGAGCAGAGGTGGGGGCACTTCCAATTGAGGGCTCTGGCGTGGAGGACCGAGTCGCCCCTGTCAGAACAGAGCTGCCCCAGGGTCACACCTGCATTGCACCCCGACTCCCCTCTTTCTGTGGTCTAGCATCTGTTCTCGATCCCTAGAAGGGAGCTGTGAAGGGGCCCCTACCGGTCCTACCACCCAACCTAGATGCTCCTTTAAGACCAAAGGGATGGGGGTTGCAGAGTCAGACACAACAGCCCCATCCTCCCCCCAGGCGGCGGGCCAGGTTTCCTGCCATTGACAGCATCCCAGCTGGGCCCTGCCCACCTCCCATGCTTAACCCTTTCCTGACCAGATCTCAGAGCCAAGCTGGCACCCCCAGCCTTCATCTAGAAAGTTAGGAGAATTAAAGTGACTTTTTTTTTTTTTTCGTTTTTGCAGCCTTGTCACCCAGGCTGGAGTGTAGTGGTGTGATCTTGGCTTACTGCAACCTGCCTCCTGGGTTCAAGTGATTCTCCTGCCTCAGCCTCCCAAGTAGCTGAGACTACAGGAGTGCACCACTGATTTTTGTGTTTTTAGTAGAGACAGGGTTTTGCCATATTGGCCAGGCTGGTCTCCAGCTCCTGACCTCAAGTGACCGGCCCGCCTCTGCCTCCCAAAGTGCTGGAATTACAAGTGTGAGCCACTGTGCCGGGCCCGAAAGTGCCATTCCATTGGGTTGTTTTGAGGATTAAATATGTTAATCCTTATGTGAAGTACTTAGAATGGCCCCTAACATATATTAATCTCTCAATAAAAGTTAGCTATTGGCCGGGCGCGGTGGCTCACACCTGTACTCCCAGCACTTTGGGAGGCCAAGGCAGGCGGATCGCAAGGTCAGAAGTTCAAGACCAGCCTGACCAACATGGTGAAACACCATCTCTACTAAAAACACAAAAGTAGCCAGGCGTGGTGGCATTCGCCTGTAATCTCAGCTACTCGGGAGGCTGAGGCCGGAGAATCGCTTGAACTCGAAAAGCAGAGGTTGCAGTGAGCCAAGATCACGCCACTGCACTCCAGCCTGGGTGTCAGAGCGAGACTCTAACTATTATTCCTAATTCGGTGAGCTTGGATAAGTCATTTCTCCTCTCTGAGCCTCAGTCTCTTCAGCCATAAGTGTGAAAAATAATAAAACCTCCCCCAAAGATTGTCATGGGGTTATGACCATGTAGCTGATAGCATTTTGAAAAGTGCTATAACAACACAATATGGAACTATCACTAACAAAATCCCCAAAACAAAATACCCCCTTTAGGCAATAAAAACCTCTTATCAGGAGATGGGCCTTGGGTTTTCAGACCCATCACTGACTTGACAGGCAGAGGGTACAGTTCCAAGCGTGGATTTAGGGCTGGGCTTTGGGCATCTCTCTCCCTTCTCAGCTCCTGTTTCCTTACTCATTAAGTGGGGGGGGGGTCATTCCTGCTGGACCCCTGTCTAGGGTCCTTGTTGGGGGGCCGTCAAAGGAGATCAGAGAGCACAGATGGGAATGTGCTTTGCAAACATGAAAGAGGGCTAGAAAGGAGGAGGAGGGACTTGGGGAAGGTGGCCAGCCAAGAGGGGCAAGGATCCTTTGGCCTGGGCACTGGTCTTTGTCTGGGCTGGAGAGTTTAGTTTGCCTGCTGGGGAAAGGGGAGGAGCTCTCCTATGAGGCAGGGTTTCACCTTGAGACATAATGTGTCAGAGAAGAAACTCTGATGGAAGAAGCTCTAAGTGGCTCCAAGTGTAGGCAGAGAAGGAAGCGGGCCGAAGGACCTGGGCTTGGCCCTGGAATCAGCCCCTCATCACTGTCTTCCCAGGTAATCCCATCTGCCATAAGAGGACTTTGGGCAGAGGCAGCTCCAGTGGGCTCCAGGGTCACCTTCATGCCAAGACTTGCCACCACAGGCTCACCTGCACATCTACAGCACCAATGCCCCTACCCTTAGGCTGCAGATTCCTGGCCTCACCCCTAGGGAAAGCAGGCTTGACACCACCCAGCACCCAGACCAGGACAGGTCTCAGCCTGCTACAGAGGGAAAAAAGCAAGTCGACTAGAACCCTGTTCTGCCTTCCCATTCAGACTGTCAGAGCATCTGCCACAGCCCAGGGAGGGGGCTGACCCCACATACGGAGCCCCCACCCCAGGCCTTTGGAGGAAGCCTAGGGATCAGGAGGCCTTGTTTGGAGTCCTGGCTCTGCCCAAGCTCACGGTGCTTCCACAGCCAATCACCTAACCCGGCAGGGACTGTTTGATCATCTGTAAAATAAAGGGAGCTGGACTTGGTTCACAGGTCTCCTCAGCGCAGAGACTGTGATCAGGAAAGAGTTAATGGAGGCCAGGATCTGCCTCAGGAAGGCGAGGGTTAATTTGGGGGGCGGGGGTTGGAGACTCTCTGCTTTTCCTGTGGAGAGTGAGGTTTGGCTGCCACCAAAGTTACTTCTAGTCCCTGCTGTCCACTCCTGCCCTCAGTCTGGACCTGCCCAAGGACCCCTGCAATTAGGCCTCCCATGCAGAGGTGAGTGTACCCTGAGCCCAGGGCTCTGGTAGGAAGGAACCCAGGGGCCTGAGGGCAGGGAGACTGGTACCAAACTAGTGAGCCTGAAAGATGGCCCATTCCCAGAGCAGAAGCCTTGGGCAGAGTTGGGAGCACAAGCTTCAGGACAGGGAGAAGGCAGGCAAAGGAATGGAGGGCCCGAGACTGCCTGCCAGGCTTCTAGGGCGGGATGTCTGAGGTCCAGCCTCCAGGCTAGCCCGGAAGGCAGGGAAGAGGCTGTGGATGACAGACTATTTTGGTCCTTGTGATTAGGGACTTTTTATAGTCTCCCTGCTCAGGGATAGGGAGAAGAGGAGAGGACAGAGGGCACCCATGGGGCAGACAAGCAGTGCCTTCCTGGGACTTTGGAATCCTACCCACTGCCCAGGAGACTCCCTGGGAGACAGGGAGGGAGACACTGCCAGACTCCCCTTGGTTCCCAGGCCTCAACTACCCATGGGCAGACTGACTACACACTAGGTGCTGGGTGAAGGGGTGGGCTGGGCCTGGCAGGGTCCCTGTCCCAAGGCCTCTCACAGACCCCTTCCCCACTTCCCTAGTTAATTCTGTTCCTTTGGCTGGGCGCAGTGGCTCAAGCCTGTAATCCCAGCACTTTGGGAGGCCGAGACGGGCGGATCACGAGGTCAGGAGATCGAGACCATCCTGGCTAACACGGTGAAACCCCGTCTCTACTAAAAAAATACAAAAAACGGCCGGGCGCGGTGGCTCAAGCCTGTAATCCCAGCACTTTGGGAGGCCGAGACGGGCGGATCACGAGGTCAGGAGATCGAGACCATCCTGGCTAACACGGTGAAACCCCGTCTCTACTACAAAATACAAAAAACTAGCCGGGCGAGTGGCGGGCGCCTGTAGTCCCAGCTACTTGGGAGGCTGAGACAGGAGAATGGCGTGAACCCGGGAGGCGGAGCTTGCAGTGAGCTGAGATCCGGCCACTGCACTCCCAGCCTGGGCGACAGAGCGAGACTCCGTCTCAAAAAAAAAAAAAAAAAAATTCTGTTCCTTTGTTGTCCCCAGATCCAAGGTCCCTCAGCCTTCAGGACTCAGGGGGAGTAGGGGGAGATAGGGGTGGGGTTGGGTGTGCAGGGCCATGTGGGTGGCCCATTCTGTTACTGCCAAGAGAACTGTCAGCTCTTGATTTACAACCCCTCCTCACCCCTTGCCCCAGCAGAAAGGAGGTGGAAAAGGGTCATGAGGTCTTAGGATAAAAAGGGGACAAGGACCCTGAGGGCAAATTTCTGGGAGTGGGAGTGCAGGTTATTAGGAAGAATTAGTGGAAGGAACTTTTTGGTAAGGCAGGGGGCCCATTTCTAACGGAAATTGCTTGGTTTTATAGCAGCAGGAATACACAAAAAATATCAGTGAGTTTTTTTTTCTTTTTCTTTTCTTTTTTTTTTTTTTTGAGATAGAGTCTCGCTCTGTCGCCCAGGCTGGAGTGCAGTGGCGTGCGATCTTGGCTCACTGCAACCTCCACCTCCCAGGTTCAAGTGATTTTCCTGCCTCAGCTTCCCAAGTAGCTGGGATTACAGGTGCGCGCCGCCACGCCTGGCTAATTTTTGTATTTTCAGTATAGACAGGGTTTCACCATGTTGGCTAGGCTGGTCTGGAACTCCTCACCTAAGGTGATCCACCCAACTCGGCCTCCCAAAGTGCTGGGATTACAGGCGTGAGCCATCGCGCCCCGCCTCAGTAGGAAGTTGTAATAGGCAAATGAGAGATCCAATCTGAACTGCAAGGCAAGAAACCTGGGTTCCAGTCCTGACTCTTAACTCTCAATAGGACCTGAGCAATCCCCCCTCCTCTCCAGGCCAATTTCCTCCTAATGAAATGGAAATGCAAAGGTTAAACAAGGTGATGTTTACAGTTTGGCATTCTGCGATCGCCTTGGCAGGGGCAGAGTACCTGGCAGTAGCTGATAGGGCCTGGGGACCACCTCCCTCTCCTGCCCTGATGGCCTTGCTGGGCCTGGGCAGGGCAGTTGGCTGCAATTACTGGAGATTCCTACCCTGTGGTTATATCCCTGACCTCGGTGTTTGGGGGCGGGAAGGGTGGGCCCTGCTGGAGCCAGCCTGTGGCTGGGAGCCTCCTTGTCTTGGGCTCAAAGCTGCTGGGTTGGGAAGAGGTATTTTTTCCGGTTGAAGCCACTTTCGGGAATTGGGCCGGGTTTCCTTTTCCAAGTGTCCTGCTTGCTGAGGCCTGCTTGCATGGCCCTGTGGCCAGATTGGGGCACCTTCAAAGGGGCATATGTTTCTGAGTGGCCAGAGAGACCCCGCTCAGTGTCTGTGAAGGACAGGGAAAGGGGATGGCCTGAGCCTCTGCTCCCTGAACGTGGCACCGGCTAACCTGGATGGGAGAGGGTGGCTGACTGATCCTATACTGAGGAATGCCGGCAGGGGAGGACCAGGGCATTTCCTACCCTTCCCCTGACCTTCCTCTCTCCCTGCAGGTCTGTGAGAGCCCAAGTCAATTGCTCTTGGCCCCCTGGCTGGCTACTTATGGGGCACTGTCCTGAACAGCTCTGCTAAGATGCTCCTGGCCCCTCCCTCCACCCCGTCCAGAGGACGGACCCCTAGCGCTGTGGAGAGGTTGGAAGCCGACAAAGCCAAGTATGTCAAGACGCACCAGGTGATAGCTAGGCGACAGGAGCCAGCCCTGCGTGGGAGTCCTGGGCCGCTCACGCCGCACCCCTGCAACGAGCTGGGGCCCCCTGCATCGCCCAGGACGCCCAGGCCGGCCCGCCGGGGAAGTGGCAGGCGGCTGCCGAGGCCTGATTCGCTCATCTTCTACCGCCAGAAGCGGGACTGCAAGGCTTCGGTGAACAAAGAGAACGCCAAGGGCCAGGGGCTGGTGCGGCGCCTCTTTCTGGGTGCCCCGCGGGACGCTGCCCCGAGCAGCCCGGCCTCCACAGAGCGACCTGCGTCTTCAGGAGGTTGGGCCGCGCCCCAAGATGCCCCGGAAGCGGCGGGAAAGCGGGCGCTGTGTCCCACGTGCTCACTGCCCCTGTCGGAGAAGGAGCGCTTCTTCAACTACTGCGGCCTGGAGCGCGCGCTGGTGGAGGTGCTGGGTGCAGAACGCTTCTCCCCGCAGAGCTGGGGGGCCGACGCTAGCCCGCAGGCCGGAACTTCACCGCCGCCCGGCTCCGGGGACGCCAGCGACTGGACATCCAGCGACAGGGGCGTGGACAGCCCGGACGGCGCGGGCGGCGGCGGCTCGGAGGCAGCCGCCTCGGCGCGGGACGGGCGCCCTCCGGTGTCGGTGGTGGAGCGCAATGCGCGCGTCATCCAGTGGCTGTACGGCTGCCAGCGCGCCCGCGGACCGCCGCGCGAGTCCGAGGTGTGACCGCCGCGGCTCCGGAGCCGGCTTCCCAAGGAGTGCCAAGCGCGGGGCTGGCCCCGAGTACGGACAGGAATACCCTGCTTCTGGCGCGCTGGGTGCCTTTGCGTAAGCCCTTCCCTCTGGAACTCAGTTTCGCGTCTGAACCTTGGGGAAGTGGGACAAGTTGTTGCCGAAGGCCCTTCCCTGCGCCCGCGGCGAAGGGGGAGGGAGAGGCCTCGTGGTCCTTGTGGAGGCCAGGTCTGGGGAGTCACGATTGGGGTGGGAGATGAGCAAACCTGCTGAATAAAGTTAAAACGTTATTTAAATGGGGAGCTGAGGAAGGAGGCAAACGGGTTTTCGTGGTTAAGCGCGTGGGTTTTGAAGTGTGTGCTCCCGGCTGACTGTGTGACCCTGGGCAAGCACTTGACCTCCCTGGATGCAGCGGCACCCCTCGGTTATTAAGGAGGAAGGAGTAGGGGATACAAGTATTTGAAAATAGTTGTAATGCGCATGGCAAAGTATCCAGCATATAGAAAGTGCTCAATAAACGGTAACTGCTGTGACTTCCACCGAATGAGTACTAACACGGTTGTGATCTCCACTGGCCTCCAGGTCGATCCAAACTAGAGCTGGGAATAACGCGCTTTGGGAGTCCGAGGGGGCGTCTGCTCCAGAAATCTGGGCTCCACCAGTTCCTAAAAGGCCCCCATTCCCGGAGTTTTGCTGCCCCGGTTGTGGTCACTGGGTATAAAGGGCTGAGATGTGGAGGATCCAACCTTTCGGACACGAAAAGAAGGGAACCGGGCGGGGCGCGGTGGCTCACGCCTGTAATCTCAGCACTTTGGGAGGCCGAGGAGGGCGGATCACGAGGTCAGGAGTTGGAGACCAGCCCGGCCAACATGGTGAAACCCCCGTCTCTACTAAAAATACAAAAATTAGCTGAGCGTGGAGTGTGTGCCTGTAATCCCAGCTACTCCGGAAGCTGAGGCAGGAGAATCGCTTGAACCCGGAGGCAGAGGTTGCAGTGAGCCAGATGGAGCCATTGCACTCCAGCCTGGGCGACAGGGGGAGACTCCGTCTCAAAAAATAAAAATAAGTAAAAATAAAAAAAGAAAAGAAGGGAACCTTTTCTGCCAGCTTGCAGGCTCCTGCCACTGCCTCCCTTTCCTGCAAGGACACACAAGATCGCCTATTTGCATCACAGGTTCCCACCTCCCAGCTTTCTTCCTTCATGCGCCTCCTTCCTCAGACTGGGTTGCCATTCCTTTTCTCTCTACTCTTCCTTCTCGGAGATAACATATATTCTCCTCCAGGAAGCCTTCCTGAATGCCCCAGTCAGCCTCACCTGCTCTGAGCTCCCAAGTGCAGCCCTGTTTTTGGGCCTCAATTTGTCACCTTTTGTGGGACCCGCTGGTAGTCTGGGTTCTCTAGTTAATCTTTGAGCTTTTCCTAGTACTGGGACGGCGTACATAGTAGAGCCACAGGCAGTTTGTTGAATTAAATGAGGCTGGAGAGGGCGATGGACGCAGTCCTCTGGAGCTCCCCAACTTCCTGGAAAGTTGTACCTTAAATAAAAAACCCATCCTGATATACGGGCTGACTCTGGTCATTTTCGCCTTGTATGTTTGGTGAGCTCCAGTTGGACCCTGCCGGAGGTCGCCCCCCGCAAAAGCAGTCTTTCTGGATGTCTGGACAAAAGCACGCGGTCACACAGACTGTCGGGCCAGGGTTTTTATCAGGGGTGGGAGCAGCGGGCGCCGGGTTCGGCCAGCCGGCTAGTCGCCCTTGGGCGCGGCCTTCACCCTCATCTCGGCCAGTTTGTGGGTGAGGAAGCCCCACTTGAAGCCGGCCACCGGCTCGGCCTCCTGCGACTCGGGGCGCTCGGCGGCCTCGTCCGCGGGTTCGGGGTCCGGCTCCAGAGTGGGCTCGGTGCCACGCAGCATGGACGACGCCGCCGCCTGCTGCTGCTGCCACCTGCTGGCAAACGCGTCCCAGAAGCCCGGACCGCGCGCCTCCGCCGCCGCCGCCTGCGAGGGGGGTCGCGCCGCCAGAGGGCTGCGGGAGAGGGCCGCGGTCAGGGAAGCGGTCGAGCGGTCCCGGGGAGGAACATCGGAGAGGAGGCTGGGCCGAGGGACAAGTTTAGTGGGGCTGGGGGAACCCGGGCGGAGTCAGGGGCAGTGGTGAGGAGCGGGGTCAGGTGACCAGTGGGGGACCGGGACATGGAGGCGGGTCAGGGCCTGGAGGCAAGGGGAGGGCTCAGAGGCCCTGGGAAAGGGGGCTGGGGTGGGACAGGGTCAGGGGATTAGGCGAAGGGTGTGGAGGGAGGCAACGGGGATCAGGATCCCTGGGGAGAGAATGAGGTCAGGGGTTTAGGCGTGGCTGAGGAGGGACGCTGGAGGCGTGTGCAGGTCTGGGAAGCTGGAAGGATCCCTGGGAGAGCAGGTGGGAGTGGGAGGGGCTGTTCAGATCCCACCTGAGGGAAGCCCTGGGGAAAAGAGACGGAGCCCGGAGAGGGATCAGGTCCTGACATTAAGGGAAAGGGGGACTGGGGGCACGGGAGAAAGGTGGAGCAACAGGAAGGCCTAGGTCAGAGCCTTAGGGGAGAGCAGGGGACTCAAGAGAGGTAGGAAGATGTTGGGGGGAAGGGCAGTCACAGAGAGGTGATGAAGCTTGAAGTGGAAGCCTCGAGTCCAGGAAGTTTCTTAAGGAACCGGAGGCGAGGGTGGGAGGAAAGAATGGAAACCTGGGGGCGGGAGAGGCTGCTGGGTCATGGGGACCCTAGGAGAAAAGAATAGGTTCAGTGGTGAGAGGGGGATGTGACCAGGATGGAGAAAAGGCAGAAATGGAAAATGTGCCAGAGATGGAGCCAGGAGGGAGACTGAGGTCCCAGGTCCCACCCGCTAATCTTCGGCATCAAAGACCTTCTAAGACAGTGATTCCCAAAGCAGCATGCTGCGGGGCCCTGGTGGGGCTTGCTGAAAACATGGCTAGATCTCCAAGACTCTGCCACACCGGCGAAATCGGAGTCTCTGAAGGAGGGTCCAGGAATATGTTTGTGACACGCTTCCTTGGAGGGTGAGGGTTTAGACAATACTTGGGAACCTTGGAGCTGGATCACCTGTTGCAAACCCCTAAAGGTATTCTCCATTCTTAGATTTTAGAGAGATGGCCCCTCCCAAGCGGATGGGTCCAGAGAGCCCATAAAATACCTTCTAGCACCTCAATCCCAACAGCTGGTCAATTCCTCCAGAGATTTACCCTAATCTCCCAGATACGCTGATTTGGCCTGTTTCCTGCTGAGAGAAACAAACAGCCTGGGACTGCCCCTCCCCAGCCCTCAGTGGTTAGAAAGACAAACAAACCAGAAGGAAAGGACCAGGCAGAAGGGGGACCTCAGGCCCCTTCCAGAACCACCACAAACACACACACACATACTGGTCAGCGCAAGGCTCTGATGGTAGCAGCTTATCTTCATCTTCTTTGTTAAACAGAGATGACATTGTCAGCCAGCCTTTCACCCCGACCCCCTGAACCTGGGAAAGGGGTTGGGAGTCAGGGAAGGGGCCCAGCATAACCTCCCAGGACTCCACAGAAGCCTCTGCCAGGCTGCCCAGGGTTGGGGTGGAAGAAGGGAGAAGACTCACCCGGCGGGCCAGCTGTGACATGGGATTGAAGGTCTCCTCGGTTGGTTCTGCTGTCTCAGACTCCACTAATGCTGGGTTCTCCCTCTGGGACACAAGACCCCCACACTGCATGAGAGAGGCCGCAGAGGAGTGGGATCTCCCTCCTCCACTGCTAGCCTAGTACACACAGACCAGGCACCCCAAATACCACAGAACTAAACACACACACACTCCACAGATCCACAAGGGCACATGGGAATGCATACAGATATACCTACAGAGTAAATCCCTGCAGACAACCTTTTTCCTCGTGTGTGTGTGTGTGTGTGTGTGTGTGTGTGTCAGAGTCTTGCTCTGTTGCCTAGGCCAGAGTGCCGTGGGGTGCAGTGGCACGATCTCAGCTCACTGTAACCTCTGCCTTCCGGGTTCAAGTGATTCTCCTGCCTCAGCCTCCTGAGTATCTGGGATTACAGGCACCTGCCACCACCCTGCTACTTTTTGTATTTTTAATAGAGATGGGGTTTTGCCATGTTGGCCAGGCTGGTCTCGAACTCCTGGCCTCAAGTGATCTGCCCATCTCGGCCTCCCAAAGTGCTGGGATTACAGGTGTGAGCCACTGGCCCGAGCTGCAGACACCCTTGAGCACACATACCTGCCCACCACAGACACATCCATATACACTCAAAAGCATGTGGACATGGGCATGCACTCTGATGTAGACACACATCTGTACATGAGCATGCCCCACATGGCTACAGCTCTTCATCTGCACATAGACGTATGTGTTATGAGGTACCTATACAAGGACACACACAGTTATACCGTTCACACCTGTGCACTTACACAACCACAGAAAGCTGCACGGAGGTCCATCCGCAACACACAAAACCTCTTCACCCAAAAACAGATACCAAAACACGTACACCATACAAACATAACACCTACAAATGTCTACACAGAGGCATGCAGGCATAGACTGCTGCCCAAAATGTTCACACCTACACATACACCTTCACTGGGGATTCCACACAGACACTGATCACACCAGTTACCCACCGACATTTCTGCACAAGCCCAGCCTTAGACACCAACCTCTCCAGACATTCAAGCATTCAAACCATTCTCCGCCCCTCCCAACCAATTCCTGCCTCTGCCACACTTCTTGTGATTGTGTGACTGCCACTTATCACAGCCTCCAGACATAAGACTGTCCCTGGTTTCAGAAACTTTGCTGTTGTCATTGTTGTTTTGAGACAAAGTCTCACCTGTCACACAGGCTGTAGTGCAGTGGAGCCTTGACCTCCCTGGGCTCAAGCGATCCACCCACCTCAGCCTCCTGAGTAGCTGGGACTACAGGTGTGGTACCACCGTGCCTGTCTAATTTTTGTATTTTTTTGTTGAGATAGGGTTTCACTATGTCACCCAGGCTGGTCTCAAAATCTTGGGCTCAAGTGATCCTCCTGCTTCAGCCCCTGAGTAGACAGGATTACAGGTGCCCGCCACCATGCCTGGCTAATTTTTGTATTTTTAGTAGAGGCAGGGTTTCGCCATGTTAGCCAGGCTGCTCTCCAACTCCTGACCTCAGGTGATCCACCCTCTGTGACCTCCCAAAGTGCTAGTATTACAGGCGGGAGCCACTGCACCCAGCCTGTTTTTTGTTTTTTTTTTTGAGGCAGAGTCTTGCCCTGTCACCCAGGCTGGAGTGCAATGGTACAATCTCCGCTCATTGCAACCTCCGCCTCCCAGGCTCAAGCAATTCTCCTGCCTCAGCCTCCCAAGTAGCTGGGATTACAGGCACATGCTGCCATGTCTGCTACTTTTTTTTTGTATTTTAGTAGAGACTAGGTTTCACTGTGTTGCCCAGGCTGGTCTTGAACTCCTGAGCTCAGGCAGTTCACCCGCCTCGGCCTCCCAAAGTGCTAGGATTACAGGCATGAGCCACCATGCCTAGCCCAGCCTGTTTTTTTGTTTTTTGTTTTTTGTTTTTTAATGTCAGAACAACACACGGTCTAAGTATGGCTTTGATCTGATGCTGCTACAGTGACCTTTCTAGTATAGGCGCCACTCCCCCTACCTCTAGTAACAGGAGGCTCACTACATCACTCCTAATTCTGCTCCCATTAGAAAGTTGTGTCCAGCTAAGTGTGCCCATGTGCCTACTGCCCACTGGTCCTAGAAGAATCTCTTCCATGTGGCAGCCTCGAGATCTTTGGAGACAGTGGCCACTCCTCCCATAGTCCCTAAGTCTTGTCTTCTTCCTCAGTTTTCTTGAATGTCCTGGCTTTCTGATGCTGCACCATGCTCTTTACCATTCCTGAATGTGCTGTCTGCACGAACGTGGCCCCCCCACCTCCAAGCCTATCCTGTGCCCCACTTCATACTGCTCATTCCTGCTGCCCCTCTGCATATGCTCCACCCAGCATGCATGGATGGTACCCACCTCCTCTGCCAGGTCTTCCTCAGATTCCCCACTCAGTGTCTGTAGCACTTTGGACTTGTAGGTTTTCCAGAAGGCCTGGTTCATGGCTGCAGGGGGAAGGGGTCTGGTGGCTCAGTGGATACCAGTGAGTCTGGCCCTAGGAACTTGGTGAGGCCAAGAGCCTGTCTGAGGGATCCAGTGACTTCATTAAAGATGCACCAGCCTCCCCAGCTGGCACAGTGCCCAGGAGGTGAACCTGATCCAAAGGAGTCAGGGGGGTGGGGGATGGAACAGGCTTCCGCCACCTTAGCCCCTTGTCTTGACCCATATTGGCCAAGAACAACGAAGACATCTGTCTCTAGAGAGGCTTTCTTTCACACACAGTTATACCGTTCACACCTGTGCACTTACACAACCACAGAAAGCTGCACGGAGGGCCATCCGCAACACACAAAACCTCTTCACCCAAAAACAGATACCAAAACACGTACACCATACAAACATAACACCTACAAATGTCTACACAGAGGCAGGCGGATTCACCGAGGGTCAGGACGGATCGGCCATCCTGGACTAACTGGTGAACCCGTCTCCACTTTAAACAATTAAAAAACTAGCCGGGCGATGGTGGGTGGCGCTGTAGTCCCAGTACTTGGGAGGGGCTGTTGCAGGGAGGGGGAATGGTGTAAGGCCGGGAGGGCGGGTGCGTGAGCTGATCCTTGGCACTGCACTCCAAGGCCATGTGGGGAACGGGCGAGCCTCCTCTCAAAAAAAAAAAAAAAAAACGGAAGGCCTTCTCTAGGGGACAGATGTCTTCGTTCTGGCCCAATATGGTCAAGACAAGGGGGCTATGGTGGCGGAAGGGCTGTCATTCCCCCACCCCCCTGATCTCCTTTGGTCAGTTTTTACCTCCTGGGCACTTGTTGCCAGCTTGGGGAGGGCCTGGGCTCTTTTATGGAGTATGGATTCCTCAGAGCAGGGCTCTTGGCCTTTCACCCAGTTCTAGGGCCGACCCTCACTGCTTATCACGAGGTCCTGGACCCTTCCTGCAGGCCATGAACCAGGCTTCTGGAAAATCCTCAAGTCAATGGTTGGCTATCAGCCTCTGCAGTGGGGGAATTCTGGAGGAGACCTGGCAGAGGAGGTGGTACCATCCATGCATGCTGGAGTGGAGGCTATGCAGATGGCAGCAGGAATATGGGCAGGTATGAGGGGGCACAGGATCGGCTGTGGTTTGGGTTGGAGGGGGGCCACCGTTCGTAGACGGCATTCAGGAATTGGTAAAGGGCGCATGGTGTGCTTCAGAAAGCCAGGACATTTCAGAATTATGGAAGAAGACACAGACTTAGGGGACTATGGGAGTAGTGTGCCACTGTCTCCAAGCATCTGAGGCTGCCACATGGAAGATGTTCTTCTGGACAGGTGGGCGGTAGGGTATTGTGGACACTTAGCTGGACACAACTCTAATGGGAGAGGAATTAGGAAGTGTGGTAGTGAGGCTTCGCTGTTTACTTAGGGATTCGGGAGTGGCGGCTATACTGAAGGGTCCTGTAGAGCTCGATCAAGCC